GTCATCCCACAACTCTTCTGGTCTTCGGTCTTTAATATTTAATGTATCAAATCTGTTCTTCAAATGATGTCTAAATTCAGGTGGGATAGATTCAAGGTCATATTTTGGCTCTCGTGGACTTGTTTTCAGTTTGTTCAGCTTCAGTTTGAATTTGCTTATGAGCAATTGATGGTCTGTTCCACAGTCTGCCCCTGGCCTTGTTTTGACTTTCTTTTCCATCATTTCTTTCTGCGGATGTAGTCAATTTGATTTCTATGTATTGTATCTGGCGAGGTCCATATGTATGTATAGTCGTCTCTCATGCTATAAAGAAGGTATTTGAAATGAACAAATCATTGCTTTTTCAGAATTCTATCATGTGATCTCCAGCATCGTTTCTATCACCAAGGCCATATTTTCCAACTACTGATCCTTCCTCTTTGCTCCCAACCTTTTCATTCCAATCACCAGTAATGATCAATACTTCTTGATTGCATGTTTGATCAATTTCACATTGAAGAGTTGGTAGCATTCTTCTATTTCATCCTCACTGGCTTTAGTCGTTGTTGCGTAAATATGAATAGTAGGGGTTTTAATTGGGCTTCCCTGTAGGCACATGGATATTATCCTATCACAGGCAGCATTGTACCTCATGACTGATCTGGATATGTTCTTTTTGACGATGAATTCAACACCATTCCTCATCAATTAGTCATTCTCGGCATAGTAAACCATGTGATTGTCAGATTCAAAATGGCCAATACCAATCCATTTCAGCTCACTAATGCCTAAGATATCGATGTTTATGTGTTCCATTTCATTTTTGACAACCTTCAGTTTTCCCACATTCATACTTCGTATATTTCACATTCTGATTTTCAATGGATGTTTACAGCTATTTCTCTTCATTTTGAATTGTGCCCCATCAGCAAATGAAGGTCCTGTGGGAAGGTCCTGTGGGCTTTTCTCCCACAAGCTTTACTCCGTTCACATCATCACTGTCAACTCTACTTTGAGGGGGCAGGTCTTCCTCAGTTGCTTCCAACCCGAGGGGCTTATTTTCTGGCACTGTATCTAACAGTGTTTCTCTGCTATTCATAATGTTTTCAGTGACTAAATGTTCGGAAGCAGTTTGTCATTCCTTCTTCCTAGTCTGTCTTCGTCTGGAAGCTCATTTGAAACCTGTGCATCATGGGTGACCCTGCTGGTATTAAAACACTGTTGGCATAGCTTTCAGAATCACAACAACTCACAAACCACCACAGTACGACAAATTGACAGACGAGTGGTAGACATTTTATCTTACAAGAGATAAAAGGAGAGAGATGCCCACAGGGAGAGATAGCATCTCACCCCTACCAAGAAAGACGAGATTACAGGGTCCTTCCTGAGAACCTCCTAGATCTGGGAGAAGACTGATGCCAAGACATATGGAGATCTCCAAGGAGCAATGACCCCATAGATATTAAAAGAGGAAATGGACCTTTTCCCAGAGCCAACATAGAAAGCCTTTTTCTAGAACTTGTGCTCTGAACTCACAATTCTAGGGGCCTGATGTGGCGCTGTGGGTTAATGCGTCAGACTGTAAAGTCATTTGAACTGCAAGGTTGGTGGTTCAAGCTCACCAACTGCTCCTTGGAAACCCTATATAGGGATCGCTGTGGGTCGCAATCGACTCGGCAGCACAAAACAACAACAACAAACTGTGAGAGCATAAATAGCTGTTTCTGGAAGCCATCCACTGTGGTATGTTTGTGGCTGTAGTGCTGGATAACTATGCCAAACAGTCTTCCCCCAGAAAATTTCCCCTTGTGCATTTGGCGCCCCTCCCTCCTCAGCTGATCTACTTTCTGTCACCATAGATTGTTGTTTCTGTTTTAAGTGCCCTTGAGTTGGTTCTAACTCATAGTGACCTTGTGCAGGGTTTCCAAGGAGGGCTGGTGGATTTGAACCGCCGACCTGATGGCTTAATGCTTTCAAGGTATCTATAAGGAGTCCTGGAGTCCTGGTGTGGTGCTATGGATTAACGCAAAGTTGGTTTGAGCCACAAGGTCGGTGGTTCAAGCTCACCAGCTGCTCCTTGGAAACCCTATACAGGGTTGTTATGGGTCGGAACCGACTCGACAGCACTTGATAGCAACAGCATAAGGAGTCTCGGTGTGGCTCTGTAGGAAAAGTACAGGATTGTTAACCACAGGGTCGGCAGTTCAAATTCACCACCTGCTCCTAGGCAACCCGATACAGGGTGGCTAAGAGTTAGAACTGACTCAGTGGCACTTTACAACAACAACAGTAAGCCAAACTATTAAGTTGGAAATTGCTTGGTGAAAAGGGTTTGATTATTGTGTGAAATATTTTAAGCAGACTTGGATGGTTAGTGTTGCTTCTATGTCCAGAGGAACCCATGACAGGTCTATATATGATTTGTTAGCGTATTTTATCCAGTAGAGCGCAAATGTCAACCGTTACCTGTTTGGACCACATGAAAGTCAGAAGATTCAGTATATTCAATCAGCAGCCCTGAGTCATTATCAACAGTTGTTTATTTCCTACCTGTATCTGGCAACAACCCAAACAAATAAAAAGCCACCCTTAGCCCAATCCCACCAGCCCTACTCCCAGCTGACAATAGTAACATAGTCATATCAGAAGGACTTTGATATTTAATGGAATCCTTCTTGATTGAAGGGAGATTTAAAATGTGAGTAATCGCTTGCTGTAATCTCTTCTATAACTTAGGCATGTAATGAGTAGTGCCAGAAGAATGAGCAACCCTGACTGAATCTCACAGACTCCAAGTATTCACACTCCATTCAAATGTAAAGGAAAGGAACATCGAACTAATGACTGCCTGTCTGTTGTAATACCCTTGAAACCCACATGGTGGTGGGATTTTCACACAAACAGGGAGTTTATTTCCCCATTCAATGGCACAGTTCTGTCTTTCCCTAATAGGAAGGTTGTTCTCCTCTTAGAAAGACAAGAAAATGGTAAAGTGGCTGCAGCCAGTGCCTCCCCTGTAGATGGGGATCTTACTGCATCCTTCCCAGCTTCTTGGCATATCCTGGAGTATGTTTGGGGCTTTAAACTGGAGGTTTCATGTTGAGAGGCTCCTTAAATGACTGCTAGTTTTCTAAGGGGCTGGCTCAGGCTTTTGGGGACTGTATCAGTTTTTGCCTTGTTCTCTCCTTTTGTTGGTGGGGACACTCTGGGAGCCAGGGGATCGCCCTTTGCCAAGGGAGCCAGGCCGGCACTGTATGACACTGCAGTGGGTATACGTGAACCCACATTTACTCAGGCTGGGTATTTTCAAGGGTCATTCAGAGAGCCTCAAGCTTAGAAGGTTAACACAATGAACTGTTTGTCACCAATTCATATTTTAAAATAAAACGCGGAAATTTATACTAGAAGCGTATGGTACAAGCTGTTTGCACTTGGTTGCTCAGCCTAAAGGTGGGTGGTTCAAACCCATCCAGCAGTGCTGTGGAGGGAGGACCTGGCCATCTGCTTCTCAAGGATTATGGCCAAGAATATGGAACAGTTTTCATCTGTAACACATAGAGTCAGAATGGATTCATTAGCAGTAGGTTTGGGTTCTTGTTTGTTAGTGTTGTAAAGTGCATTTGAGTTGGTTCTGACTCATAGTGACCTTATATAGGGTTTCCAAGGTAGGTGATTTGAACCACCTACCTTGTGGTTAGCAGTCCAGCACTTATTTCATAGTTCCACACCAGGACTCCCTATTTTGTTATAGTCAACAATTAGATCCAGTGAGGTGGTTGCTCCCTATCCTTTACATACTAAAAAATCCAGCCCCCTCCCTCCTTTTCCTTGTGCTTATTAAAGCCTTTTTGCTATCACCATGTCTCCTTTATCTGCTGTTCACAGCGCTATAATAGATCTCTAGTCTGGGGGCTGACTTGCCGTAGGACTGAGAATGGCTTCCCTGAGTATGACATAGGGTGTGAAGGGAAGGTGACTTCATAATGCCTCTGCTCATGCCTGTGGCCGTAGTCTGGCAGGGACAGTATTGCATGGCTATCCACTGGTCATCCGTGGTTCCCGGAAGTGTGCTGAATCCCTGAATTTTCTCCACAAACCCTTGGGGTGAGTGTGAGAGACCGATCATCCCATAGGTTGCATATTAAAGTAGCAATAATCGTAGACACTGTGTACTGAGGACTTCTTTGCTCAGTGTTTTGGTCCACCCAGATGACAGAGCTAGGACTTGGGATCCAGTATATGTGGTTCCAAAGAATGTGCTGCTCATCACTCTGCGACACAAGCTGAGTTTCTAAAGAACCAGCTACTTGGTGGGGAGACTGAAATTTGAACTCAATGAAAGTAGATTCTAGCTGGTGGTATATTTCCTTTTCTGAGTGTCTAGTTTCTTTGGAAAAGAAGTTTCCATTAGTGGATAGCTGAGAAATACCTTGTTCCAGAGAATCCACTGACTCATCAAATGGTAGCCCATGAACTGAAAAGTACTAGGAAGTTTCAGAGGTATGACTCCTTCCCTTAATCTATGAGTCTTGGATTCAAGGTGAGGCTTGCAACTCAGTCTTCATTGTGATTCTTCCCTCCTTTTTGCTGATTTCCAGCCGCTTTTCAGGAACTCCCTGGTTTTTCCTATCCCCCTTGGATTTCTAGATTTCATTGGGAAATTGGGACCATCAGGCTCCTTCAGTAAGTGCTTGATGGGGTTAAGAAAGAAGAGTGTGGACCGGGCTCTTACCTTCTGGCGTCTTCTCCATTCCCTAGAAAGGATTTTACCCTTAAGTACATGCAGCTTGTAACATACACACACATCCAACCGAAACATGTTACAGTTAAAGAAAGAGATGCTCAAGTAGGGACTGGAGTTTTCCTCTGGGCCTCTTCCTCCTTGAATCCCTCTCCCCTGGTTCGTTGGATCTTCGATGCCCAAGAACCTAGGGCACATTCCTTCCTTCTCAGGGATGCAGCATTAAGACCTCTTCGTTCGGGGTCATATTGATGGTCATGACATTGTATTTTCCCAGGAGCAGTGGAGGCACCTGGATTCTACTCAGAAGGAACACTACTGGGATCTCATGCTGGAGACCTATGGGAAAATGGTCTCAGGAGGTGAGGGCATGGCTTATCCTGGGGAAGAGATGGAGGGGCTGGGACGTCTCAGGGAAACACCTGTGTTCTCTCAGACACAGACTGAACCTGAAGTTCTCGGGGAGGGAAGTCATTAGCGACACAGTTGGGAAGTGGGCTGAGTTGGAGCTAGCAGAGCTGTAGGAAGAATTGTGTGAATCGGATGCCTGGAGCTCCATTGGGTACATTACATAGTGACTGCTTGCATCTTCGCAGCAGCCCTATGAGGTGGGTGATTTAGAGCTTTTAGAGATGAGGAACGTGAGTATCAGATCAAGTCACTGGTTCCCTGTCACATCCCTTGTAAGTGCTGAGTCAGGATGGAATTCAGTACACCGACTTTGAGTCCAGGCTCTTTCCCACTAACCCACACTGCCTCGGCCAAACGTGAGTGAGGCCCCAGTCATGACCCTTGTCCCAGCCTGCTGGGTGGTCTACAGACCCCTTGTCTGTCTGCTCAGGTTCTACTTTTCCTCATAATTCTTTGAGGACTGGTCTCTGAGAAGTCCCACATCCTTCTAAGATGGGTGTCCTGAGGTGGTCTTCAGAGTCTGTGTGTTTCCCTTCACGTTTGGTTAGGCTGTTCCTTTCAAAGACGTTGCCTGGGCTCCCAGTCCTCTGCTCTCTCCTAGCCCCACATACTTCTCTCTCTGTGCCAGGCCTTTCCAGCCCTAAAGCCGATGCGGCTCATTCAGCAGAGTATGGGGACGAGCTGGCAGGACTCCACCTGCGTGCCAGTGAGAAGATCCCAATGCCCACCTGCAAAGGTGAGTCATCTTTCATTGGTCCCGCGCCATCTCTGAGTTGGGTGAGGTGGTGGAGGAGGGGTAGGCCTTTGGTTCCTGTTACGTTGGTTGTAAGTGGCCATGGCTGGGTCAGTTCAGTGGGTCTCCCTGTCTCCATTTATAGCCTGATGAGAGAAGAATGACCACACATCATATCTGCTTTCTTCAGTCTTGTGTCCAAAACTTTTGTAATTGCTTTCTCTCTGTGAGAATTAATATTACTACAGATTGAGATCAATACAAATACAGGTTCTTGTTGTTAAGTGCCGTCGAGTCAGTTCCGACCCATGGCGACCCTGTATAGGGTTTCCGAGGAGTGACTGTTGAACTTGAACCGCTGAATACCTGTAGGATACCATTAAAAGAAAGATTACATAACAGGCATCATTACTGTTATGGGCTAGAAGGTTCAGAGTAAATTTTGTTGTTAAGTGCCATTGAGTCATTTCTGAATAGAGACCCTGTAGAGGGTTTCCGAGGAGTGACTGGTGAACCTGAACCGCTGAATATCCGTTATTGTTGATGTTACGTGCCGTGGAGTCAGTTCTGACTAATAGAGACCCTGTAGAGGGTTTCCGAGGAGCAGCTGGTGAGCTTAAGCTATGGATCGTGTGATTCAAACCGACTTTGCAGTCCAGCGCCACAGGCTTCCCTTATTCTGGTTATAGTCAGCAGTAACCATCTCACCCCAAACAAAATAAAACATAACAATGGGGAAAAGGTTATGATGTCTGTGCACCGAATTTTCCTTAAATCAGTTGTTATTTTTATTTGTTTATTAGTGCTATTGAGTCGGTTCTGACTCATGGTGACCCTGAATAGGGCTTCCAAGGAGCCCCTGGTGGGTTTGCAGTGCCCACCTTGTAGTTTGCAGTCTTCTGCTTTCCTACATGTCACTCCAGGGACTACATTAGCAAGACAAAGTAATCCTCATGAGTCATGCATTTTAAGCCTGGGTTAAGGAAACCTGAGTGTGTTCTGTTGTATCCATCAACCTTTGCCTTGTACATGGAGTGCTCTGGTGCTCAGCTGGGTCAGAGAAAACCTGAGTGTGTTCTGTTGTATCCATCATCCATTGCCTTGTACATGGAGTGCTGTGGTGCTCAGCTGGGTCAGAGGAAACCTGAGTGTGTTCTGTTGTATCCATCATCATTGCCTTGTACATGGAGCATTCTGGTACTCAGCTGTAGCCAAAAGATTGTCAGTTTGATCCCAGCCAGCAGACGTGGTGACCCACTCCCTGAAAGGTGACAGTTCTGCTCTGTCCCCTGGGGTCACTCTGAGTTGGAAGCCACCCTACAGCACCCAACAACCACCACCATATAGCAGATGAGGTGAAACAAAATTCAAAAGGGATAAAGGATGAAAATAAAATAATAAAGAAGAAAATGAGTATATCTTTAACAAGTCTGAATGGGGACATTTTAATATATAAAATTTGAATGTAAACTATAAAATACAAATTTTTAAATATAAAAGCAATAGGAGAAAAGAATAAGTGCTAATAATCTGACTATATTTAAAAGAAAAGCCATAACTGCTGTGCATATAAAAATAACTGAAAGTTATGAATTGGCAAACAAATTGTTGAGAAACCTTTTTTCCATCAATATGACAGATAATACTTTTTCAGAAATTTACAGAGTTCATGTAAGTTGGCAGACTTCCCCAGTGAAAACTGGACAGCACGCTTCGTGCATGAAAAATAAGTCCTAAATGTGAATAATAGCTTTATCTTTTAGTAACTATAGAATTAAAGTTTTTAATAATGAAAAATATTTCATTATAATTCATATAAAGTCACTCAATACTTAAAAGCATTAAGCACTTATGCCAGAAGATGGCATAGTTGTTCTGGAAATCTGTTTGAACAGTAGGTATCAAGAGCTTTTGTCTGTGGGTGGTGTGAACAGTGGTGGGAACTGTGTTAATGCTCCTGGCTGCTGCCGAAAGGTTGGAGGTTGGAGGCCTCCCAGAGATGCCTCAGAGTATAAGCCAAGAGATTTATTCTTGAAAAAAGCCCTGAAAGCCCTTTAGAGTGGATGGAGTTAAGATGGCTTACTAGTCAGACACAGTCCCATTACAACAGAGACCCAAGAAACAGGTGAAAATGGATACAGGTGATAGCTCTGGAATCCTAGGCATTAAATGAAAGGGCAAAGAAGTAACTTAAATACCGATTGGAAGAAGAAACTGAGAGAAAGCAGCAAAGAAGGAGAGATCACATCGGGCCCAGCCCAGCGTGGCCATTTTGAGTCGTAGGAAGGCAACTTCCTGGAACCTCCAGTAAGGTCAAGCCATAGGGTAGACAGCTCCAGAGCCAAGCTGGTGACTGGGTGTACGTTACTCAGCCACTCCCACCACACTTGCCTTCCTCCCCCCTGGTGAGTGCCCCCCCCCTTCAGCACCACTGGATCCAGATGTGGCAAGCACCCACCCAGTCTGCCCTCAGCTGCTCTACATGACCCATGCCCACACTTTGACCTGCTAATACAACACTCCGATAGCTGGTGTGTGCTGCAGTGCTACTACCATAGTGATCAGAGTAGCACACTCCCTCTGCAGCCGGATAATTCTAAACAAAACAAAATGAAAAAAAAAAAACCACAACATAGCAAACCAACATTCAACCCACAAATAAATACAACACCAAAACAAAGATAGCAGACAACTTCAAATCACATACACAGAAAAACAGGACAAGATGGCTCAAGCAAGTGACCAAAATACAGGGCTATAAAACCTCCTAGAGGAAGAAATGGTAATGGAACTACAGATAAGGAATTCAAAGAACTGTACTAGGGGCCCTTTGACAGATTAAGATAAAGATCAAGAGAACAGAGACAAATCCGATGACATCATAGACAAAAAAAGAAGGAAAACACAAGACAAAATTGTAGAATAATTCAGGGAAAAAAATACAAGAGCAACGGACAAAATGGACAAGTGGCAACTGTACAAAAACAGCAACCAGAAATCTAGAAGATGAACAATTTCAAAACTAGGGAACACAGTAAACCAAATGTATTGCCATTGAGTTGATTTAGACTCATTGTGACCCTATAACAGGGTTTCTGAGACTGTAAATATTTTTTGGAGCAGATAGCCTCATCTTTCTACCATACTCTGCTCATGGAAATAAAGAATTAACCATTGTGAAAATGTTGTCAGTACTACCCAAAGTAATCTATGTTGTTGTTGTTAGGTGCCATCGAGTCGGTACCAACCCATAGCGACCTTATGCACAGCAGAACGAAACACTGCCCGATCCTGGGCCAACCTCACAACTGTTGTCACGCTTGAGTCTATCGATGCTGCCACTTGGCCAATCCATCTTGTTGGTGGTCTTCCTCTTTTTCTCTGACCCTCCACCTTACCAAACGTCATATCCTTCTCCACTGACTGGTCCCTCCTGACAATATGTCCAAAGTATGAGAGATGAAGTTTGGCCATCCTGGCCTCCAAGGAGCATTCTGGCTGCACTTCTTCCAAAACAGATCTGTTGGTTCTTTTGGCAGCCTGTGGCACTTTCAGTATTCTCCTTCAACACCATAACTCAAAAGCATCAACTCTTCTACTGTCTTCCTTATTCACTGTCCAGCTTTCGCATGCATATGAGGTTATCGAAAATATCATGGCTTGGGTCAGGCTCACCTTAGTCTTCAAGCTGACATCTTTGCTCTTCAACATTTCAAAAAGGTCTTGTGCAGCAGATTTGCCCAGTGCAATACATCGTTTCATCTCTTGATTGCTGTTTCCACGAGTGTTGATAGTTGATCCAAGAAGAAGGAAGTCCTTGACAACTTCAATCTTTTCTCTGTTGATAAGAATGTTGTTTATTGGTCCAGTGGTGAGGATTTTGTTTTCTTTACATCGCGATGCAATCTATACGGAAAGCTGTGCACTTTGATCTTCATCAGTTTCAGATTGAAGAAGTTGGTAGAATTCTTCTATTTCATTTTCACTGGCTTTAGTGGTTGGTGCGTAAATTTGAATAATAGTGGTATTAACTGGGCTTCCCTGTAGGCACATGGATATTATCCTATCACAGACAGCATTGTACCTCATGACTGATCTGGATATTTTCTTTTTGAGAATGAATATAACACCATTCCTCTTCAATTTGTTATTTCCAATATACTAAACCGTATGGTCATCAGATTCAAAATGGCCAATACCTGTCCATTTCAGCTCACTAATGCCTAAGATATCGATTTTATGTGTTCCATTTCATTTTTGACAACCTTCAATTTTCCCAGATTCATATTTCTTACATTCCAGGTTCTGATTTTCAATGGATATTTACAGCTGTTTCTCTTCATTTTGAGTTGTGCCCCATCAGCAAATGAAGGTCCTGTGGGCTTTTCTCCCACGGGCTTCACTCCATCTGTGTTATCACGGTCATGTCTACTTTGAGGAGGCAGCTCTTCCTCAGTCGCATTTGAGTGACTTCCAACCTGAGGGGTTCATTTTCTGGCACTGTATCTGACAATGTTTCTCTGCTATTCATAAAGTTTTCTGTGACTAAAGATTCGGAAGCAATTCCTCACTCCTTCTTCCTAGTCTGTCTTTGTCTGGAAGCTCATCTGAAAACTGTTCACCATGGGTGACCCTGCTGGTATTTAAAATACCGATGGCATAGCTATAGCTTTCAGAATCACAGCAACTCACAAGTCACCACAGTAAGACAAACTGACAGACGAGTGGTAGAAAGTAATCTATAGGTAGATAAAATACATTTCTAGTCCAGATTCTAACATCATTCTTTAAAAAGATGAAAAATGAATCATCAGCTTTATATGGAAAGAAAAGAGCCCCTGAATAATAAACAAAGCACTAACGAAGAACAAAGTGGTGCCACGCTTCCAAATGTCAAAAGTGACTCTACAGCCGCCGTAGTCAAAACAGCCTACTGCTGGTACAACAGTAGACACATAGATCAGTGG